TCTTGCAAGGTTCCTTATTATTTTCAATCTAGTTTGTCTCTTTAGGAGGAAAAGAAAAGTCGAAAAAGTATCCAAGTGAGCAGAGATATGTAAAACGATGACCAGTTTTTCTATATGGTACTGCAAGTGCCATCACACTATTCATGCGCAAAAGGGAATCTAAGCGAAAGTTGTCTGAAACAGCTTTGTTTCACAGTTAATCCCTTTGATAAAGCTTCCTCAATAAATAGCGCACTTCGAACGCTTCAAATAATTGTACGCGATTCATATGAATTCTTCATATTTATTCACCACAACCACACTGTTCGCTTTGATTGTTGAATTCTGACAAGCATTTCATTAAGGTGTGCTGTCTCCTGGTAATTGTTTTCTTCATCGATGGTCGTATTCAATGGGGAACCTATACGCTAATATATACGCTTTCTTTTGTGCTGGCCTTCGGATGCATGCTCACACTTCTTCTTCATTACTTTGAAGTTCCAAAGGAATCAAGAGGAGGACCGTGGACGAACATGGTGAGCAATTTATATTCTACTTTTTACCATCAACATGTTGATACCACTTTCGTAAGAGTTTTCGTAGGAGTTCCTCACCAAAAATCCACCGCTCAAGCGAATATAGAAATTCGCTGTCGCCAAAGGCGACTTTCAGTAGCGAACGAGACCTCTCGCTGTCTCCCTTACAGTTGTGATAAGGAAGATCACGTTATAATGCTGCTGAGTCACAAGTTGCAGTGCGGAAATACGGCAAAAGAACATTTGTTAAGGATGGGCACTCATCCCTACCGCTAATTTTAGGAATTCTTTGGAAAATCCAAAAAGCCTCTAATGCCTTTCTCGCTCAAATCTCCGTCTGCTGCGCTAATATCGTGCGCTTCACTTCAAAGCTGTTGCCGCTGTACTCCTTAATTCTATGCCTACCAAGCACCGTTATCAGGGTGGCACGCCTCATACTAGCTGAGAGCTCATTAATTCTTATAGCTAGTTGTCTTTCCGTTTCTCCTATGTTTTTTGATCGACATCCTCGGCGTTCCATCTGGCAGATCACGCCTATCACTGCGCAATCACCCGTTTTTCCGTAGAGGCACATGATGCAATATTTTTGGCCACTGCTTGTCGTATAACCTGTTTTGAACTAATAGCTGTCAGACATACTACTTGGAGCATTCACTGCTCTTGAATATTCCTAATAGCATTAATCCATTAATTAAGATTGAATGGAACGTCACGCATAACGGTCAGTGATAAAGGTAGTGGGTACGTCGTTATGTCTCAAACACTTGATCGAGCCATAACCGAACTCTATCTTAGTGACTCCTCTGTTTACTGTCACGTGACTGAGGAAAGCTTATCATTACAGTGTAGTCGCCTCAATCATATTGTTGAGTGTAGCTAGATCTGCAGATGTTGTTGAACGGTTGATCAGTAGACTCAAAATAGATAGAACTGTCCAGTTTTTATAGCCTCATAAAGACCCATTAGCTCTATTCTAACTAAGCGCTATCTACAACACCGGATACATTTGAAATTTGGCCCATTATTAGTTGTGTGGGGAGTGCCAAGCGACAGAATCTTGTGGCTTCTCAATAGGATTGTAAGCCATATAATGACGTTGGTTAAAGAATGTCTAAAAACACAGTTATCGATAAAAATGATTTGAGATTTCCCGTAGGTTGAATTCGAGGTCCTCTCTTATACCACATCTGGCGCTATTAGGTCGGAAAACGGCCTAGTTAGGGCGTTACGAAGCCTCAAAGATTGCACCGTGTGTATCCTCGGACGAGTTTCTCTGGCATTGTAGAGGCTGCACTGATCACAAGGGGACCCATGTAAGAATTTCATACAACTTGCCATGACCCATTGCGACAGTGAAAGGAAGTTCTGTAGGGTTCTAGCTTGATGTAGTCAGCTCTTTGCATAATTGCACCAACAAAATCTCGTCCAAATACCTCTTCTATGCTATTTAGGTCATGGTAATCTCGTCCAGCCTCCATTTTCCTTAATTTTGAAGAGACATATTTTCCTCGAAATCGGCGAATTCTCTCGGTTTCTTCATTACCGATGGACTATTCCCTATTCCCGTTGGGAATTTCTTTTCCCTTTTACGTTAGTCATTATATTGCGTGCTCCTGAATACGTCAAATGGCACTTTTGAGGAGCTACTATGGAATGCAATCGGCTGTGCTCTGTGCGCCATTGGATGCGTTATCCTTGTCTGGGACTGGTGGCAAATGCGAAGTGGACGTCATCATCATCATTCCACTTTGGCACCACGAAATATTGGCGAGTCGCGGTGGCTTAGACGGGTCGCTATCGTCGCGGTGAGTCAACCCACCACTACAGTAGTGACAAAATTTTGACGGAGTTCACGTAGAAGAGCTTGATCTCATGGAACTGGCCGTTGAAGGCTTTAAAATTCTTCTGGAGTTTTTAATGAAAACCTAGGTTCATCTATATAATAGATCGAAAGGCTGTTTACTGATATGGAAACTAAAACTGCTGAATTAGTTCCCAAAAAAGGGGTATAGCTGAACGAGGCAGGTGAGACGGGTGTGTTGCGATTCGTGCGATTCTGGGTGCGCGCGGCGAGTTGCGCGGCGAAACCCGGTGCGATTCGAACGACTACAGCGTTTATCATTGGGGCCCAAATTCGAAGTAAACTAGGTTAGTAGGATTGTCCGAACCTACTGAAGTACTCTACTTCAAGTTT